GGGAAAGCCAGGTTCTACAGTTGTGCAACTGCACCTGTTATTCCAGAGAGAGCATGCTGTGAGGATGTGATGTGTATGAGCAACTGAAATTATAAAGAAAACCACCCAAGGATACATATGCTTGATGCAGAGTAACAAGCGGTTTGTTCCCTTTCTTCTAAATTGAACAGGAAATAATTGAACAGCTTTCTTTCTGGTACTGTGATAGCAATGACTCAGTTCTTGTACGAGGCCTACAGTGACTGGAAAAGGAAGAATTTTTAACATAAACCTTTTTTTTTAAACTTAAAAACCAAAACCAAATTCTATCAGATAACTCCAGAACAGCCCTAGTTAAATGCCCTAAGTGAGGAAACACAATTCTGACCCTGTTTCCCTGTAGTCTGGCCTCTCACACCATCTTTCGGGGAGGGTGTTTAGGTTTGTGGGTAGGTTTTGTTTGTTAGGATTTCAGTCATTACTTGCATGGTAGGACATGGTGCTGACATCCTCCTTGTACAAAGACTGCTCATGCAGGGAAGGCAGGGCCATCTCGGCCAAGGAAAGAGAGAAAAGTGTGTGGGATGGATGATTTTGATCAGTCTGTACTGGGTGCTTTAAACAGATGGGATGTAAAATCTAGACATTTTACAACTGCTCTTACATCTTGCATCTGCTCTTAGGTTTCTGGTTCTTCTTAACAACATGAGTTATCTCTGCTTCAGATGTCACTTATTAAGGTGATTGAGTGATGTAAAGTGTAATGATTTCCTAATGAGGGTCTCTGTAATTTAAGAAAAAAATTACACACTGGATGATACTTTAACATTAACATCTTTGATTTTGTTACTTTGTCATGTTGCTAACAAACATGCTTCTGGCACTTGTAATTAGAAAATGAAACTTGTAATTTTAATTTAAACTTTTTAATACCTGAACTACTCTAGCTCAATCTTGAATTTCTCCCTGGATAAAACAGGAGATTAAAAATTGCCAAATGCCAGGCTGCCCTCAAGTGAGTGTTTGTGCCAGGCCATTAATATGTGCTTCCTCCTTCTGCACAGGACCTGGAGGCTGCCTTGGAGTTGCAGTCAGTGCAGAATACTCAGCTGGCTGTATCCTTAGAGCATGAGCAAACGGTAAATGACAATCTCCGCAAGGAACTTCAGATTGAGCACTCCCGCTGTGAAGCGTTGCTGTTCCAGGAGCAGACCAAACTGTCAGAGCTACAGAGAAATTTGGATGCTGAGAAAACCCGTTCGCTGGAGCTCCTGAATTCCTTGAATCATGAACGTGTTTTGACAGAACAGTTGAGCATGAGAGTGAAAGAAGGTGCTGCTTGTCAGCACAGGGAATCACTGCTGGAACAAGCCTTTGTTCAAGAGCTCCAGACCCAGCTGGGTCAAGAGAGGTCCCGAACTGTGGAGCTAGCTGCTATTATCGAGAGAATGCACCAGAAGGCAATTTGCTCCAAAAGGCAGCTGGAGGCTGAAGTACAGATTTGCTGTGAAGAAACCGAGAAGGAGAGAGAGGTCAGTGACAAATTGCAAGCTACGCTGGAATCTCTTCAGGGTCAGAAGCAAGAGGTAATCCCTTCTTTAGAGGCACAGAAGGAAAGAGAGGCAAGGCTGACAGCTGACTGGGAACAACTGCAGTCACTCTTCAAGGCGATGAAAGAGCAAGATAGAAACAAGAAAGAGGAGAGAGAGAGCGAGCGAAGGCAGCAGCAACAAACAGAGCTAGAGAAACAGAAGGACTGGAAGAGAGATCAAGAGAGACTGGTGAGAATGCCTATGCAAGCCTTGCCTTACATTGCAATAGCCGCAAACTGGAATTTAACTCTCTGGAGAGTGGTCTTTAATTGAAATGTTTCCTGCCCTTAAAGCATTCTGAGAAATGCAGTAGATGAACTCTTTTCCTGCATTTCTCAAATGCAGCTGTTTTCAGGGGCTTGTCTCTGGGTTTATTGTTGACAGAAGTTGCTTTTTACATCTGTGCCTATGCTGGGAATTGCTAGTCGTTAACAGATGGAGAGGGATATGGCTTAAAAGCAGAATGGAACCTAAGTTTCACATCATGGCCCTTACTTTGAGCCAGGCTCCTAATCATGATTTGCAGCAGTACCAATGTCACCCTTCTTGTTTCTCAGCTCCTTTGCTTTCTTTAGATGAGGAGGGAGACTTTGCAGGGTTCTTTCCAGATCTCTCTGTCACCAGGTCTGGAAATGGATGGAGAAAATGCCCACTCCAGAGTCATTAAATGACTTCCTGGTGGTCCTGGAAGGCAGTACTGCAAGCCTTCCCCTAAAAAGTGGTCTATGAGTTAAGGAGCACTGAGATGGATATGCTGGTTAGGTGTGATGCTTTATTTGCAGTGTGTGTATAAAAAAAACTAACCAAAACCTGCTTAGGGGGGTGTGTGTGTGTGTGTGTGTGTATGTATAAGATGCAATTAACTACTCCTTATCTTGTTCAAATAGCAAAACTTGGAACAGCAACACCAGAGGGATGAACAAAGAATTAAAGAGCTGCAGGAAATACTGGCAATGTTCGAAGAAAGAGAGAGAAATCTCCTGTCTCCAAACCGTCAGCAAGAACTATTGTGTACCTTAAGCAAAGATCGAAATGGCAAACAGGCCACAACGAAAGAAACTGAAAAATCGCATTTGCAACAGCAGCAACAACAGCTAGAGAAGATAAGACAGCAACTGCTCTTTGTAGCTGTGCACCTGAACGAGTTCATTTATAAAACTGTAGATAAGTAAGCAGTAGTTCATAAAATAGTAGTCCTGCTACTCCTTATATTTTCTGTCCTGCTTCTGAACTTGTGTGGGTCATGGCTGAGCACCCTGTGCTGAAAGGGAGCGAGTGGCCCATCTGCTTACAGGGGTTAACCTTGTGTGAAACCCTGGTTTCATGGTAGCAGCAGGCTCTGGTTATTGTCATCGCACTGCAGCCTTTCCTAGATCTAGATTTGTGAAATGACCCTGCTTGAAAAGAACACACACACACACACACACACACACACACGCCACAAACAAACAAACAAAACAGGTTAATCAACACACCTGCATGTTTAGAATGGGAAACTCCATAGGACATGGCAGGGAAAATCTATGGGTCAGGAATGAGTGGCCACAGAGCAGTAATTTCTTATTTCTTTGGCACCAGAATACTAGGGATGTTTTGCTGCAGCCTGAAGTTGCATGATAGAATTTGAGACTGTTATAAAATACAGATCTATGAATAAATCCTATGCGGCACTGTTTAGAAATTCTACTCTTAAAAATTAACAAAACTTGCTAATTTGTGTGTATTCATCATATTTTGTGTGATGAATAGTGCATAAATCCAGCCTCAGAATTTAAGGGTCATCCAGTGGGGAGAAGGAATCACATGTATTTTAACATCACTACAAATCAACCTGATACTGAAAAAGTATTTCTGTTTAACAGAACAGTTAATGATTGGTCTGCATCAAATGATGACGCTGTAGCCTCTTTACTGCAGACATTAAAGGAACTCAAATCAGATTTATTGTCTCCTCCTGCATCTCAGGTAAGGAAAACAGTGTATATTTGTTGATTATAAGTTGTTCTGTGTTCTGTGGGTTGCAGTGCACAGTTGATTGATTGATGGGTCCACCCCCTTTCCCTTTTTGGTAAAACATTGAGGAAAATCTTCAACCACATTGTAGCCCTTTCAGCCAAAATTGTGGGATTTAGGGCAAGCTAACAGGCTTGGATCTGTTTGATTCAGCCTTTCTGCTCCCTCACCTGCTTTTGATAGCAGATCACCAGAAAACACACCTTTGGGAAAGAGCTCTGACCGTCTGGTGCAAGGAGAAGCTTTCGTACCTTCTGTTGTTCTCATGTGCTGTGCAATTCAAGTCTGATGTATGACAAGCAGGCTAGGCACAGGGCAAGTTCTCCCTGAGTCTAAATGCTTACAACATACAATAAATATTTATCCTTCTGTTGTCTGTGCATCCACTTAGGTGGTTGCCAAATGGATTGTGTCCAGCCTTGAGGAGGGGGATGTAACCTCTTCCAAGTAGGTGTTCATGGAGTTATTTCAGTGAAGCCTTCCTCTCACAAAGCATTATAGCTCTCTGCTGTGTACTGAATGTTCAGAGAGCCTGTGGGGGGAACCAGACAATATCAGGGCTCTGTTGAAATCTGACTTAGCAGAACTTCTTCCAGAGCTGAGCTGTTTTTCTGGCTCAGCTCTTTCCAAGTTATTACTCTACTCAAAAAGAAAATATAGTTTGGGGTGTTTGTCTTTCTTCTGATGACATTAGGTCTTCTGCATTAGAAATTCGGTTGCAAATGCTCTTCATAACTTCTATTTTTCCCAAGCTGCCCTCAGCAGCCTCTTAACATTAAGCCAGTGAAAGCCATGCAACATAGGAGTCCCTTCTCTTTTTGAACCAGACTTTGCAATTGCCTCTTTAAGAGACTATGACCAAACTAAAATACGGGGAGTATTTCTGACTTCAATTTTGTTTAACAAAAGAAAGGAATTTAGTGGTACACTCTAAAGACATAGGCCTTCCTGTAGCTTAGAGTGCAAAAACTCTACCTTGATATATCTTCGTCTGTGGGCGCAGACATCCCTCTGCTCTGCCCTCTTTTCTTTTTCATCATTTTTGTTTCAGTCTCCTCCCTGAATTTCTCCTTCCTTTAAGGTACTGAACCACATGCTCTGGAGACCAAAGGAATTTACTGCTGTTACCTCTTTGATTTGTGAGAAATTGGAGGCTATTAGACAGGGAAACTGGCAAAATGCAAAATCTGTGTCAAAATTAATATGGAGTCAACTGGTCAATCAAATGTCAACTGGTGCAGTAGCCATCAAATGGATAGATGGGTCATGTAGAACTCCTCAGATACTACAAGTATCTGTTACTGCCTTCAAACTGAGCTTTTGTAGGTCTCTAAAATGCCTGGGATGGTGGGATCGGAGTCCCGACTGGGATGCCTGCTGAGGAGGCCAATCTAAAGCAGCTTTCCTCCACTTCTGTACAACACAGATAGGTTTTGTTTCCCATGTCTGAACTACTTTTAATAATACCTGAAGTGTGGTTTGTGTCTGATGTCCTCATCACTGCCTTTGATAGCAAAATGCTCTTCTGTCCCACCTCCATGTGTGCTATGGCACAGCCACCATGTCAGTGAAAGCCACGTGTAGGAACACGCGTGCTTTAGTTTACCTACCTTCAGGATAGAAACCTTAAACTGTATAGAACATCAGTGAATTAGATAATAAGTACAGGACAAGAGTTTAACTTGGACTTACATACCTAATTTCAAAACAATACTGAAGGTAGTGTTAGATTCCTGAAGCATTTTTTTTTTAACTCTAAGAAGTGTTAAGAAAAAGCTGAGAAGCAGAAAGACTTTGCTTTCAGAAATTTTGAAGAAGCTCAAAGTCAAAAGGAAGGAAGGTGGATTATGTGCTGTGAAGGTACAGATAGCATTGGAATCCCTGTTTGTGGCTGTATATATTGCAGACAGTAAAAAGACTTGGATGACTGTGGTTTATTAAACTTCATTAGATAAGATTTTTTACTTGACAAGTTGTGCTCTGCATAGAAGGCAAACGTAAACAGCATGTGTTAGTGTATTAAGGTATTAATATATTACTCCTGAAAAGTTCAAACTCCTGATAAGGTTGGACTAAAACAAGTTGCTACGAGAAATTGTGGTCAGTTGTGTGTACTGACTCTTCTAATGCACAGATTTTATTTCAAGGGATAAAACACTAACCACGTCAAAAAAAAGTCTTTTGTTTCCCTGGTCTGCTGCATCACGCAGCGATGTAACTGTTGACCGTTAAATTGACAGTCAATGCAGAGAGGGATATGAAGGCAGGACTTCCACAAAGAATTGGACCTGGAGTTGTGGGTCTCATTCTTACAAGAGATGACTTACCACAAAGCTGGATTTCTCAGAACTGAATGTGATTTTTTCAGAATTTCCTTCTGTAGATACTTCACAACATGGTTGGGTTTTTTTTGTGCACACATATACACAGACATCTTTCTTCACTTTCTGTGCTGCCTGTGGATGTGGAAGAAAGCAAGACTATTTTTTTGTTTCCAAGTGTTTGTGAGACTCTGTTATTAAAGGGAACAGGATTCCTGTAAAGCTGATCTGACAGATCTGTAGAGAAGGGGTAGCTTGATTAACAATCAATTCGGTACTACTTAAGAAGGGCTGCTAGTGTGTTTTTTGCTATTGTTTAACACTGGAATGGCTGATTTTTCAGGCTCGTTATTTTTGTTTTAGTTTATCTATAAAGTTAGGTTATTATTCAGTTTGAGGTGTCACTTCCTTTGGGTTTCTTTTTTAGATCAGATCTACGGATGCTACTGACTGTGTTCAAGAACTGGAAAGGGACACTTGGCAGCGAGAGAGAAACATTTTGCAGAATGCCCTGAAACAGGCTGAATCTGAACTGGCTAAAGCCAGTGTTGAAATTGAAAACAAACCAGTGGCAGAGACTTCCAGTCCTAAGGTAAAATGGTGGTGATGACCAGCAAACGGGCTGTCTGGAGGTTGGTGAGTGAGCAGTGCCACAGCCGTCAACACATCAGTTAAACCTTTGGTACTTGGTTTGGTTTTTGCTGTTGTACGGATTTGCCGTGTGAGAACCGTTACCAACTCAAGATCGTAAAAAGGTCTGGAGATTTCAACCCCTGGTAATATTGTTCTTGGGCATTGCCTAAGGGATTTATGTCACATGTAGAACACGTAATTTAGTAATTTATTTTTTTAATAAATATGATAAAACTTGCTGTTGCAGAGGAGCCAGAACTTGTACAGCTAAAATTTTTAGGTATATAAGTATTTTTCAGATTGTGACACTTAACTTATTGCTGTAATCTTCACTTGCTATTTTAAAAGGTGATTTTATAGACTAACAGTTTTATAAACTGCATATTAAATTAAGAACACTCCCCATACGTACCTCATCAGAGAACTTCTTTTGTAACTTCCTTGGTGTTATCGAGGAACTTACACCAAAAGTAACCTCACTCACTCTACTCTGAAATGAGAGGGAGATTTAGATTTCTTGTCTAAGCATGGAAATATCAAACATCCATGACTTTTAATTCCGTCCCCTGCCCACAATCTTAACTACTTTTTCTCTGACACATTTGATTGTAATCAAGTCTGATGGGCATTTCTCCCAACATGCTTTCTGGTTAATATTTATTTAAAGCAGATGTTATTTTCTTTGTTAAAGAGTTCAACTG